AATTCTGACTAATTCCCAAAACAAAATGTTATATATTCATATTTCTTCATTCATTCAGTGTTTGTTTGTCTCTTATGGAAGAAAACAATTATTTAAAATGTCAGGATTTTAACTCTGGGCTTTCATACCCATAGTAACGTTTGTAATAACGTGTTGAATGTTTTTAGAATGTAAGTTGGGCTACTTATACAACACCAACATTAAAGGTGGGGTAGGTAAGTTTGAGAAACCGGCTCGAGTTCCCCTTTTGTTATATTCCATGGAATGCTCTTAACATCCCGATAGCAATGAATATCTTAAGTGCTTTGACAAAAAATCCATAAAAAAATGTCATCTGTGGAAGCCGTAATACTGTAAAAAGCACGACCAATTATTTTAGCCGGCCTGGCTAAAATAACTGGATTGCCTACCTGCCTGTCAGCCTTCCATCTGTGCACAAACTTATCTCGTGCCCTCATTGGTCATGTTCGTGTGTGTTGGAGGAGGGGCTCTATAAGGAAGTGGCAGATTTTCTCCGGTTGTGTATTTTCAAATTCTAGCGATCTCGAGCCGGTTTCTCAAACTTACCTACCCCACCTTTAACTAAAATGTAGGTATTGTAATATTTTGTAGTTATCTTTAAGTCTTACATAGCCAGACCTATCTCCACGGTGCTGTGTCAGGGCGGGCTCTAAATATTGTCATTCTTGTAATAAAAAAAAGCCCTTGCTTAAATGTACTTCTTGAAACCATTCACAGTTGTCTTAGGCGTTGCTAAGCACAGAATGCTGTGTTGGGGCCTTTGCAAAGTAGACAAGGCTGTGTAAGAAATGGCAGGCTTTTACCCACAGTCTGCTGAGTAACACTACAGAAGAAGTGACTTTAATGTTATTGTCTGATAATGATTGTGGAAGAACCAGTTATAGACCAGGGTTAGATGAAAAACAAGTGTTGTCCCTCTACTATCTCTCAACTTCCTACATCTTCTTACACATTCCCCAGAGTTTCATGTCCTGGCTGGTCTGTCCTCCCCTGCTCACTTATATCCGGTTGCTCAGTGCATATTTTTGAGAGAAACCCCCAGGGAAGGCCTTGCTATGCAGTCCTCTCTCTTATGTGCCTTTTTGCCACTGTCATTTTTCATTTACTCATTAACTTGCCTTTCTTAAGAAAAGAAAACTATTTTACATGTATTTATCTTAAAACTGCTGCACAACAAAGAAACCATCACAGTTAAAGGGATTACTTTTTTGAAGGAATGTTTTCTACTGGATTCAATATACATGAACATTAATCTGAAAGAGTTAAAGACTGGTCCTGCTTTACAAACTGTAGTTTATTGAGGACCATTTTATCCAACATGTGTTGAGTGACTTAGTATAACAAAACAACCCTCAGTAAACAACTAAGACAGATAAACACAAAAGGAGTTGTCTCCGTCAGTCTCAGGCTGTATATTTTGTGGTTAGTTTGGTGGGGGATGGTACACATGCTTACAGTGCCTTTACCCTCGGTTCCCACATTGATTTAATCCATGTTTTATGTTTCATGACCACCATCAAGTAACTACACCGTAGCAGAGATCAAATTAGTCAGGATTTGTTTGATTCAGATCAGCATTAGGGGTCTAAGAAAATATTGGTGCACTTTAGTATTGCGATATTATGTTTTGTGAGACTGTATCAATTCTAAAAAACACTGTATGGATTTTTTTATTATTAGTTAAAGCATACAAAAAATAAATGTATACAAATTAGTGTAATGCCACTTGAAATTACAGGTTTTTATAGCAGGAAAACAAAACATTTGTTCCAAGAGCATCAGTAACATTGGAGTCTTTAAAAAACATATTGTTAATTGACTTGTTTGCTTCATTGATAGAAGGTAACCTCAGTACAGCTCATTGAAAAGGACTCTTCATGAAAAGCTGATAGCATCTATCTGCCGCTTAATGTGCCACCCTTCCGGCATGACATGACACGCCTCACAGCCTCAGAACGATAAAGAGCATCCTTTGACTGATGGACAATATCCTCACTGACATCACTTATTTGAATATGGTCTGTTGTATATGGGCTCAGAACAGTCTCATAATACACACATGCACACAGAAGGATTCACAATTGTATTTCATGATCCACAAAAGGATTCACACTTGTATTTCCCGATCCACACTTGTGTTTGTCAATGCACACACAAATGTGTTCCGTTTCATATACATGTAAATAAAATCCAAATACAGAAAAAAGTTTTACATATGTATTTTTGATCCTCACATATTTGTTTTCCGTTTAAATCCCCTGAACCTGCAAACACAAACCGCTTTCTGTGCATGGATCGCTGTGCATTCGTGTGTGGGTTTTTTGAGACTCCCCTGACGGTCACCCGATTCGTACTTGTAATTTTTTTTTATCTATAGCCAATCAGATGTCTCCTCAATTCTAAGCCAATCACATGAGCGCGCCCCCATGAGGGTAGATTTATTAACTTAACTGGCGGACAATTAATTTGGTCTCTAAATGTCTCACATGACTAATCATGAATGATGTTAAAGGTGGGGTAGGTAAGTTTGAGAAACCGGCTCGAGATACACTTTTTGTTATATTCCATGGAATGCTCTTAACATTCCGATAGCAATGAATATCTTAAGTGCTTTGACAAAAAATCCATACAAAAATGTCATCTGTGGAAGCCGTATTACTGTAAAAAGCACGACTAATCATTTTAGCCGGCCCGGCTAAAATGATTGGATGGCCTACCTGCCTGTCAGCCTTCCATCTGTGCACAAACTTACCTCGTGCCCTCATTGGTCATGTGCGCGTTCGTGTGTGTTGGAGGAGGGGCTCTATAAGGAAGTGGCAGATTTTTTCCGGCTGTGTATTCTCAAATTCTAGCGATCTCGAGCTGGTTTCTCCAAAATGACCTACCCCACCTTTAAGTCTACTGAGCTGGATGGGTTGTGTCTGTAGTCTCGCAGAGTTAGCCTGCAAGGGTGTGAATGTACTCTGCACATCTACGCCTCTCATACCCTCATACAGAATGTAGCAGGCATTTATCATTCGGCTGTTTTTGAGACGTGAAGGAGTTGAAGTCATCATTTTTTTATAGGGAGCATACCAATACCATGGCATGATCCAATGCTTACGTATATTTTCCTACACAATACAACTTCACAGTGCATAATGAGGGAGACTGCTTTGAAAGTGGCACGTTGTGAAAGTTATTATTTCAACACAACCTCTTCAAGAGCAAAAGCAGGTTTTTTTTGTAAAGTATAGATTCCAAATGATTCAATTGTGTCTCAAAACAGTAACCCTATGTCCGTATGAACATTGAAGCAGGTTTTGCTTGCTCTAATCCTTCCTCTTGTTTATACTGGCCATGAATAGATCCTACATGATTTGTTTAGGGGTGCAAATTCCACAATCCTGCACGAAGATATGTATTTTTTTAAGTTTATGTGAAGATATCATGAAGCTCCAGCAGTCCCAATTGTTCAAAGTCTCTTTAGCACAAAAGGTTTGCGTTAATGAAAGTGAGTGTGTTTACTTGATGGGTTGCAGATGAGGGATAGAAACATAAAGAAGGATGTTGTTCTAAAAAGTTTGTAATTAGGAATTTGGTTTCACTAACAGTCCTCTTAAGCCTCATGTTTGTACTTTTATATAAAACAACACTGAATCCATTTATCTAATTATGATGAAAAGGCTTTTTATTGTCTAACATCATTACAGCTATTGGCTTTTTATTTCTATGGTGGGAATGAAAGCTGGAACTGTCTCACAGTTAAACGTTTTTTTAAATGTTTAATAATATAATTGATCTCAGCTGGTATGACTTCTAAGTCTTTAAAAACAAACTTTACACCTGCATTAAGTGAGAACAAAGAGATAGCAATGTCTATACATTTCCTTTGTTCTGTTGTGTGGATAATAATATCATTCTCATAGCAATTACATATAAATGTAATGATATATCATTGATAGATTATTCTTTAACATTGTTGAATACAAAAAATGTTGGTTTCTAAATGAGATTCAAACTAAAACTTTTAAATTTATTTTTTGTGAATAACTATAACCTGATGGCACAGTGTAATGAATGTTGTCTCCTTGTTTTCAGAACGACCAGCAGCTCGACTGTGCCCTGGACCTGATGAGGCGTCTGCCTCCTCAGCAGATCGAGAAGAACCTCAGCGACCTCATCGACCTGGTGAGTTAACGTCTCCGCTTCATCTGTCAGACCTCCATTACCTCTAATGAAACACACATTCATCACACAGGGTTTAGACTATTAGAAGGTGGTGTAAAAATCAATTTAAGGATCCAGGTTGTGTTTATCTTAATCAATTCACAACATTCTGCAAAAGAAACCCAGATGATCTGTAATGGATGGACTGCAATCCTAAAGTCAAAGTTGTGTCAAGCATTTTTGTGTGATTTGTTTGAAAACAAACACAAAATTCTAGTTTCAAGTTTACCTGCTAATATTACCTTATTATTAGCTGTAAGAGGCGTCATTCTTATTTTTAAATCTAAATAACCTTATACACATGTGACTGTGTTTGTTCCATGGTGGCTTTGGGGATAGCACAGATACACGTTTCACTGTTCAGCCGCCTCACAGCCAGGTAGAGCAGTGAACATATTCCAAATATAGATTTCACTTCAAACTGATATTGATTTATTTTTTGAGTTATACCCTGGTTTACTGTCCTGGGATTGTTGTTTGTAAGATCTGTAGTGTGTTTGGTAGCATCACAAGAGTCTTTGATTGAGCCTCCTGTGGGTTTTTATGTTGGTGTTCGTTATGTAATACAATGCAAGGTAACTGAAGCTTTTTTCAGCCTTTGTGGAAGTTTCTTTTCTTTCTCAATCCTCCGTGTACTTGAATGACGTAACATTTCTGCCTATACATCAATTGGTGTTTTATTTAAACTCTTATTGGTTTTCTTTTGAGGTTGTTTGACCTGTTCTGTTAATTTGAACAAAGCAGTGCCAGTTGAGTCTGAGAAATTAAGCTAAATTAGACACAAATCAAATCACACTTCTACCAGTGTTAGCATGGCACCATCTGCATTATTTCCCACCCAGACCCCCACCTGCTCACCTTCCTCTTCCCTCACATTTAACCTCTCTCCCCTGGGCATAAGCTCTCTTCTCACCCATTACACTGTGTCTGGTTGTTAGCGATTATTATCAGAGCTGTCAATCACCTCCACTGCCAGGCACCTCTGCTCAAACTCTTCCTGGTGTGACTCACCTGAAATCACCTCTTTCTTTCCTGTTTGTCTCACATCTCTTTGACTCCTCCTCTCTTCTCCATTTTCTCTCTTACCTCACACCTTACCAAAGGGGTTTGTCCCCCCCTCCTTACCTTGTTTCACCCAGTCTGGGCTGCCAGGTGTGTGACTGTTCGGGGGTGTGGGGGATTTTTGGGGAAACAGGGCCTCCTTTGTGTCAGTACTCTGATGCCGGAGGACATGGAGAGGGGAGTCCATGTCAGTCTGTGAGAAGTAATTTGTACCCCCTCATCCTCTCCATATTATGTTTCCAATTGATATTATATTCAAGCTCCACTGAGTAACCTCTGCTTATTGAAAACAGCTGGTATGTGAAAGGAAGACAAGAGCTTTCAGTTCACCTTTGACCAAATGAGAAAACCAAACTCAAGGCTGCTTTTGTTTCTGCTGTCTGTTCCTCAAGTCTGCATTTCTTACAGGATGTGCAAATAGAAAAAAAATAGCTTGCTCTTATGTCTCTTCTTTACACTCAAGACTAACGGAACACCTTTTAAATAAAATGTCTTAGAATTAGGGATATTTTACCAACTTTTGAAGAAATGTATTGCTTTCCAAAACATTGTGTTGATGTTCTGGGATTTTTTTCTTCTGTTGTTTGTTTTCAGGTGCCCAGTCTGTGCGAGGACCTCCTCTCTTCTGTGGACCAGCCCCTGAAGATTGCCCGGGACAAAGTGGTGGGGAAAGACTACCTGCTCTGTGATTACAACAGAGACGGCGACTCCTACAGGTCGAGTTCATAACTGCACTTTAACCACATTAAGATCATGACAAATAGACCTATGGCAGCCAACTTTTAATGTGTTTTGTATTGTTATTCTTAATACATCAGATCCCCATGGAGTAATAAGTATGAACCTCCCATTGAAGATGGTGCTATGCCTTCAGCCCGCCTGAGGAAACTCGAGGTCGAGGCCAACAACGCCTTCGACCAGTACAGAGATCTGTGAGTGACAGCGAAGATATCCGATTGGGTGTTTTTAATAGACGGTCAGCGTTTCCCTCTATTGACCTCCATGTGTGTCTTCCAGGTACTTTGAGGGTGGCGTGTCCTCTGTGTACCTCTGGGACTTGGATCATGGCTTCGCTGGAGTTATTCTCATCAAGAAGGCCGGCGATGGATCCAAGAAGATCAAAGGGTGCTGGGACTCCATCCATGTGGTGGAGGTGCAGGTGAGAATCAGTCGGAATGAAATAGGTTGACATATGAACTCCTCCAGTATTAGTTTTGACAGCTGATTTAGTATAAGTCTTATTCCTCAGACAACAATGCCTTCTGGTTTTTACTCACATTTAAGTTGTTTCCATCCTTCATAGTTTTAGTCTAAATGTTTTTGTAAAGTTTTTTGTTTTTAGGTCGCACCACCCGACCCGCTTTTAGAGCCAATTTGTAGGGCCAAATGTGCAACTGCGTATGTGTAAATAAGACACCAGAACCGGACCCAACTGGCAAACCTTATGCATAACGGAGCCAATAGTCAGGATTTAGGACCGAGACACGGGCGGATACAGAATCCGTGCCGCAGCACAGTGTGTTTGTCTGAAACAGAAACTTTAGTTATTTAAACTAGTTTTCTGCAAACGATACTCCATGTTGATAAAGCACCGTTCTTGTTTAATGACGCTGGTGCCGTCTCGTCATCGTTTCTTCTTAGTCATGGAAAAGTTTGTTGTCAAACATATTTTGTCAGTTTACCTTAACCAAATGATAACAGGCTCCTCCGAGTCTCTCTGTTTTAGTATAGTAAGTCTGAACATGCAAAGACAGAAACCTGTGTGAGTTTTGCAGGTGATGTTTAAATCAGTGACATACAGGGGGTCCTTTAAACCTTGGAGCTATGCAGGGTGAAACTGCAGTTTGTCTCATTGCGTGTTGTGTCTGTTGGCGAGCAGGAGAAGTCCAGCGGTCGTACTGCTCACTACAAACTCACCTCCACCGTCATGCTGTGGCTCCAGACAACCAAGACCGGCTCCGGCACCATGAACCTGGGCGGCAGTCTTACGAGACAGGTACGGTGTTGAGCTGAATGTTAAACCACTGCCGAGCCTTCTGTTGACATCCATGAACTCAATTTGTTTAATCTTTTCACAGATGGAAAAAGACGAGACAGTTGGAGAGTCCTCACCCCACATCGCCAACATCGGCCGCCTTGTCGAGGTCAGAATAACAGCTGATATCCTGCTTCTTTAAATTTGATCTGCCTACCTAAAACAGTGATTCTACTCATCTGCAGTGACATTAGTGGAATTTATTATTATTCAAGAATAGATGTCCTGAACATTACACTTTAAGGAGTATTCTTTTTCTGTTTTCAAAAAGCATTTATCTTAAAATGTTGTCATTGTAAACTGAAAAAAGTCAGACTGATAGCTAGAATGTTTTAATTCTTGTTTCAGGATATGGAGAACAAGATTCGCTCCACACTGAATGAAATCTACTTTGGCAAGACCAAGGACATCGTCAATGGCCTAAGGTAACAGCACACGAGTAGTTTGGATGAATAAACCCCCCCCCTCTCATTTTACAGCGCCTCAGTCAGCGGTTCTGCAGAGACTCTGTTCGTCTTCTTCTACCGGAGTTGGTTTACTTCTGAGTCTCCGTCTGTCGGCTTGTTCAACAGACATTTCTGTCATTTCTTATCTGATCATTTATTTGATTTATTACTCTTCTCAGTTGCTTTTCTTTAATGGTGGACAGTAAGTTAGTACCATTCATAAATTACGATTTTAAGTTTGTAACGTTACACTTACACGTCACCACTTCCCTGAGGCAAATATTTTACCTTTTTACTCTATTATATTTATTTGATAACTTGAGTTACCTTAAAGCTTTAGATGCATATTATTTATGCAAAAATTATGTTTGATAATTGACCACTTGCTAAAATTCATAAATGACCCAACAGTATATAGTAAAATACAAGTTTACTAGCTGCAACATTAAAGTGGTGAACACATAGAAGCATCAATGATAATGATTAAATACCAGAGTAACAGAGCGTTGCTGCATTTCCATATTAATTTGATTAATCATATTTCATTGTTAACTTTAAACGCTGTCAGTAACTGATCTGAGTATTTTGTCCACCACTGCATATTTTTCTGTATTCTCCCCACCTCCACTCTCCCCTAGCCATCTCTTCAACCTCTCCTATGATTTCATTTTTCTTATGTCTTCTCTCCCACATTTTGCCTCCATTCTTCTCCCTGTCTGTCCCCCTGTCTCTCCCCCTGTCTCTCACTCTGTCTCCTCTCCTCTCCTGCTGTCTCTCCTCTGTGCTCCAGATCTATTGAGTCTTTGCCCGATAACCAAAAGTACCGGCAGCTCCAGAAGGAGCTGTCGCAGGTCCTCACTCAGCGTCAGATCTTCATTGACTAGGTTCAGAGGTACAACCTGGCATGGAGAAGTGTGTATGTGTGTGTTTGTGTGTGTATCATTGTATACTGGTAAGTCAAACACAGGAAAAAGAGACCATGTTTCTCATCACTTGCTGCGCCTCTCTCAGATGTCCCACTGTACTTAAAGGAAGGAAGCGAGCAAAGTTAAAATAATACAGTATTTTAGACTTTTCTTACAATCAAAACTGCTCATTCTAATCAATCATGATAACACCAAAGGGGATTACTTTCTAACTCAATTAATATCTGAACTCTTCTCCTGCTTCTCTCATCCGGAACGTTCTCTAATAAAAAGAGAAGTCTATCTAATTACAGAAGTATAGATATCTTTCTTTTAGGAGCAAAAGGCCGACTCTATTACGTACCCCAGCATTAAACAAAACTAGCCACAAAAACCTGATAGAAAACATTTTGAAAGCTTCCCAAGGACCTTAAGGACTTTAATTTCCTGAGGAATATCACAACTCTGCCTTTTTTAAACACAGAATTAACTTTTTTGGCAAATTCAATTTCCTATCACTATGACCCCTAGGATATTTGTAAAAGCATTCTGATTTCCGATGTGAATTGGTGAGACCCATCTGTTCCTTTTTTGTTTTTTTAAAACGACTTCATAATACTAATGTTTAGATTCCCATGAAAAAAAAGTATGTTGGACGGTAGATTGTTGAGATGTATATACACATTTTATCTACAACAAGCTGGAGGTAAAACATTTTGTTATTGTATGTGAATGTGCGTGTGCAGGACTTTGCTGCATGCTCCTCGGAGTGTTTAGCAGCTGTGACGGCATGTTGTGCAGGTTTTGTTTGTTTACCTTTAAGTCTAACAAACAATCGCCGAGAGGGAGCGACACACTAACCATGTCAGAGTATTCAAAGCCGTCACCAACGCTGCTGTTCGGCTGTCTATTGGCCTTATAAGGTTTTCTCAAATGTTGTTTATTCTGTGAGGAGAATGTTTGCCTATCAAAGTAAAACACATTTATAAAGTGTTTGTGAGTGAAAAAACTCATCACAGAGAAATCCGATTGGCATAGGTGTTCTCCACCCTCTGTTCAACAGCTTTACACCTTTTCATTGTAAATGAGCTTCAATAGATGAACGGAAACTGAGGGACAGAGCCTAACTTTAATATATTCATTGTGTATATATTCCTATTTTGTTTCAACATCCTATACATATACAAATGTTCTGCCTGTACACACGCAGATTACAAATTCTAGGTGGTCCTAAAACGGTCTTTAAATGTCACTTATTGAAACCTGCAGGCACCTTGTTTATAATCTCAGATGGTTATGCATCTTCAGATACCTCAGAGTTCAACAAAGTGCATAATGTGAAGTATAATGAATCCTGCTTTAAGACAGTGCAGACAGGTAAAGCACACGGTTTAACTGCATGATGGAAAATAACTGCAACTGTTTATTATGTGCCTGACACTAATGCCCCATGTGTGCAGTGTGTATGCATTCAGTGTGTGATAATACATATTTGTCTCCACAGAGAAGGAGTTGGGACGTGTTGTCTAACTTATAGATTCAGCTCCTCACTTTTTCTCTTCAACTTGTGTTTTGGTGTCACTGGAGAAGCTTTTCCAGTCTCGCTGTTTTCACGTTTGATCTAGCACTGACTGTCTCTTCTCTCTTTGTCCCCCCCCCCCCCCCCCCCCCCACAGGAGTGTTCAGACTCTGGCTGACAAGTCAAAGCAGGAGGCTCTGAAGGTCGACCTGATGGAGGCACTCAAACGCAAACACAACAGCTAGAGTTGCTACTGTTTTAGTTTTTTTTTCTGTCTCTCTCACTCTCCGCCTCATCTCCGCCATCTTTTCTCTGTTTCTCTTCGTCTCTCCCTCCACGCCTGTTTCAGTGCCGCACTCTTGTTTATTTGTGGAAAAAACAAAAAAGGAGAAAATGCTTAGCTTTTTATTTGTTTTTGTTTTTCTGTCTGGTTTTTGTCTTCATGCATCTCATCTGCCATGAAGCCAGTCCCTCACGCTCCCTCTGTCTCTCTTCACCCCTCTCCTCTCTCCCACGTTCTGAATATAATGATAGTATTACCACGGTTAATGATAATCTTACAGTGTGAGGGTCATTGTTGTAATAATCCCTGATGTTCTCACAGCTGATATGTCCTCGGTCAGTTTCAAACTCACGACTTTGGCCCGGCTCTTCCTCCGTGTCCAGGAAGCGGACACAGACTGTGCTGTAGGTGGTGTAGGCTCGGTGGGGCTGTCATTATGTACATCAAATTGATTTCAAGCACCTACTTTTGTCTACGACACCCCTGATATATTTGTATAAAATTATTACTGTTGGCGTATTACTGTCATTCTTCTTAGTAAATGGTGTGAACACGAGGGCGGCCTTCGGTTTATGTTAGAAGGTTTTTACTTTAATTCCACTCATGCATGTGAGCCTGTGTGGTGCTGCAGTGAGTGGAAATGTAGACCTATCAAACATGGGGATGGACTGTTATAATCACCGGGTGATTACACCCACATGTCAACCCAACCCCCCCTACACTGTGTATAACATGACAGTCAGCCCCCCCTCTGTTCAACTTTTCTCTCCTCACCTACAGTACTATGTCTTTGTTGGGGGTCACAGTTTGTCTTTGTGTCTCAGTGGAAACCTTTGACTGTTTCCATTTTGGAGGGGAATCTTTTTTGTTGTATTTTTGTTTTGTTTTTATTTTGTAAAGCTTATGATTCATATTGTATTAGAGCCTCCAGCAACAATAAAAACAGTAAAAAGCTACTCTTGCTATTATTTGTTTTATTTTTCTTGTTGAAAGGTATCGGCAGTTAAAGGCTTTAAATTGCTGTTAAAGTAGGGAGAAAAAAAATCAGTTTTGTTTCATAATAATAATAATGCTGTATTTAACATGTAACCTCAAGTGAATTAGTTTTCTTATTTTGCCCAGTGAATGTGTACATTTTTTAAAGTAGAGTCATTTTGATCTGCATCTGTCGGTAGACCATCACTATAACAGTAGGCGTACACATGTTTTATTTACTACAGGACACTTGATGGTAGCCTATATGCAAATGGTTAGACAAAATATGTGCTTCTATCAACAAAGAACATTACCACTGCAAACACTGATATTGAGGTAGATAACGCTTAACTTGTTAGCATTTATGATATAGTTATTTTCAAAATGCACAGAAGTTATAACTGTTGGTAAATACTGTTAATAATGATGCTCCTCAAAATGTCCATATAACAACATTAAAATTTAGTAGAAGAAAAATACGTTTCTGTAATAGATCGATACTGCATTTTTCAGATTGGTGGAGTTAAACGAGTCTACAGTGAAGCCTGCAGGTCTTTGGCGCTGTAATAAAGGACTCAAATGTGAAACTGACATGGCAACATGCTCACAACGACAGCCCGTGTAACAATACTTGACTGGTATAGAGAAGCACTCTGGGTCACTTGTGGAAACATTTGTAAAACTCATCTCGTGATAAAGCCATCTCTAGCACCTGATTTATTTATGCCACTAGGTGTCACTGTGTCTTTAAAGAGTATGCCTCCTCAGTTTGCCTACACGGGACAATTAGTTCAGAAAATGCACTCCAGACATGAAGACTTTTTAATGCATTATTCATTTTAACATATTGTAGTTTTAGACGTCTCACTGAGCATTATTGTGTAACCTGATACAAGAAGAAATGTCCATCAAACTATTTTTCGACAGCATGATCTTCCACATTCTTTTGTATTTTATATGAATATATTAAGGCAAAAGTAAGTTTTTGTTGTTCAAAAATCGAATTTGACATTGTAGGCTATTACTACACTGCACAAGTAGGACACGCCTATTTGTATTGGATTCTTGTCCGCCTTGTTTTCATATGACCATTTAAAATGAAAATTCCTCATTAGTTGCTGAAAAGTCTTATATTTCCAATAGCTTCCATGTCATGTGACCCATTGTCTCCCTATTCTTTACCAGATTGTATGACTACCTAGTACTACTAGTACTTCACTGGACAAGAAGGACAAATCGATTTTGAGGATTTTAGACTAAGTAATGATCAGTAAAACTTAACTTATTTTGCACTCCTACTTGTATACCTTTTTTCCCCACTATAGAAGTATTTTTCCATCCCATCTAAATTTAACATAACCAAATAAGATAATTTAACAGACAGCTTTCTCCAAATCAATCATATCTGGTAATCTAACTTTAGAAATGGTATTCCTGGTAATGATTAGTAAAATAACCATTTTAACAAAAAGCTGATATTTAGTTGGCTACACCTTTAAACGCAATACAGAACACAATAAATCAATACTTATGAATAAAGTTAGTTGCAATTAGAAATCCACAAGAAAAGTGGGTTATTTTAGATTGTATTTAGTATTTATAAACTCCAGCAACATGAGATGAAAACACAATTATCTCCATCAGAGAAGGCTGTGCTTCTAAAACTGTGACTGTGCTTTGTCCACTAGGTGTCAGTGACGTTCAACACATCGACTGAGCTCCGAGTTTTACAACTACTTCACAGTTTTTATCAAGACACTGGTCTGTAGCCCATTACGTCCAAATGTAATTTGATTCTGTTTCATGTATTTTATTTTAACAGAGTTGACCTCATACTAGTATTGTTTATGGTCCTGAAACTGGACCATGGGATCTAAATCAACAAGCTAACAAAAATGAGGTGAAATGTATTACATTTTTTCTACTTAAACACTTTGTGGGTGATGGGTTTAAACACCTAAAACCTACCATTTGAGGAATGTCTTCCAGTTAATGAGTAAACTCTTTGTGGAGGTGTGGACCTATACGCTTGTTCCTGATGAAATAATAGTGGTTTTGGTTAGTTATGTGTCACAAGAGCTCTGTCGAAGTATTATAGTCTCTAGACTATCAACATTTTTAGATAAAACCAAACTAATGTAAAGATAACAGTGCCTGCCTGAACTCCCAGCTAAAACATTACAACATGGCAATAACAAATTAACAATGTTGTCAAGTAAAAAGTATAGGCTATAATGAAAGTCTTGCTTTGGTCTCCTATGTTGATGAAGCATTTAGGAAGTTACTATTTATCTCAAGTGACAGGGTTTCTGCCAAGTCCTCAGACATCCCCCCCCCGTTCTCTCTTTCTCTCTCTCTCTCACACACGCACACACACGCGCGCACAGAAACACACGCGCACACACAGGTTTATGATAATGAGGAGCCTCAAGGCGCAGGGGGAGCTGGAGCCATTTTCACCATTCAAGCGGAGTTACGCGGACTGAGCGGAGGTGCTGCTGCTCTTGTTGTTGCTGACGGCGTGTGTGCGAGTGTGTGTGAGCCGCTCCAGCCAAGGTTACTGCGGGTTAACGTCTTCAAATCAGCCGGAGTGACCAGAGAGAAGTGCGCTCGCTGAAAGCATGGCTCCTCTGCAACAAAGGGAAACTCACAGGCGGAAAGTTTAAAGGAATAAGGAGTGACACATATTCCCATTCGGAGACACACAAACTGAGGAGCGATGCACTTCGTTAAATGGGATTTGTTGTTGATTTTCTGGTGGTGTAAACTGGGTTCGCTGGTGCATTGTTACACCGTTCACATCAGTGAGGATGCGGGGCCAAGGACTGTGGTGGCCGGCTTGGAGCGGAGCGCGCGCTGTACTTTGGATCAGGTACTCGCTCCCAAATTCACGGAGCAGTTTCTGGAGACAGACGCGGCGGCGGGCATTGTGTTTGTTTCGGACTCCATAAAGTGCCTCTCGATGCGCTCCAACCCCTTTACCGTGTTCACTGTGTCTGACTGCAGGGACCCCGGCTACAGGCACCTCCTCACCAGCCAGTATGAAGTGCATGTTCACGGTAGGAACTGTTCAAACATGCGTAAAAGAAAACCTCAGTGGGACATGGAGGTGCTCAGTTTGTTTAGCACGGAGAGCCAACACCGGTCAGAGTGCCACGAAGCAGGCTCTGCTTTATTTGCAGTGGGGGGTCTGCTACCTGGAGCCCCTCTCCGCTGCAAAGTCACCAACACCCGGGACTTTTACTTTTCTGAGGGTGACTTGTGTGTGTCTGAGACGCTCTGCTGGATGCAGGACACACTCCGGGAGCTAGACCTCATCTGCGATGTGCTCACAGGGAATGGATTGAGTGCTGAAGTGAATCCCATTTCCATCCACTGGCGTGTGGGGCAGGGTCCCTTCAGGCAGGCCCACCTAGGGAAGTTGTTAGAAAAGGCAGCTCAGTCTGATTCAGGGATTGTGAGCAGGAGGAGGAGAAGCATCAACAGCAGCCCTCAGTTTCAACCTCCAATGTACCAAGTGTCTGTGGCAGAGAATCAGCCAGCTGGGACTCCTGTTGTTGTTTTGAAAGCAATGGATGTGGATGAGGGTGAGGCAGGCAGGCTGGAGTATTTTATAGAAGCACTCTTTGATAGCCGCTCAAACAATCTGTTTGCAGTGGACCCGATCAACGGTGCTGTGTCCACAATAGAGGTGCTGGACAGGGAGACTAAAGACACTCATGTGTTTCGTGTGACCGCCGTTGACCACGGCAAGCCCCGGCGTACAGGCATGGCCACCCTCACTATCACAGTCAGGGACACTAATGATCATGGCCCCGTGTTTGAGCAGGAGGACTATAAGGAAAACATCAGGGAGAATCTTGAAATAGGCTATGAGGTGTTAACTGTAAGGGCGACAGATGGGGACGCACCTGTTAATGGTAACATCCTTTACCGCATCATCAACAGTAACGGGTCCAATGAGGTGTTTGAGATTGATTCGAGGTCTGGTGTAATCCGCACCAGAGGCCTTGTAGACAGGGAGGAGGTGGACGCCTATATGTTGCTAGTCGAGGCAAATGACCAAGGTCGTGACCCCGCGCCCCGCAGCGCCACAGCTACAGTTCACATTGTGGTTGAAGATGACAATGATAATGCTCCACAGTTCAGTGAGAAACGCTATGTAGTTCAGGTGCCAGAGGACTTGAGCCCTAACACAGAGATCCTGCAGGTCAGCGCCACAGATCAGGACCGAGGGAGCAACGCTGTGGTTCACTTCAGCATCATGAGCGGGAACACCAGGGGACAGTTTTACATCGACGCTCAGACAGGTAACATGGACCTGGTGAGTCACCTGGATTACGAGGCGAACAAAGAATACACTCTAAGAATCAGGGCTCAGGATGGAGGACGTCCTCCGCTCTCCAACATCAGCGGCCTGGTCACAGTGCAGGTGCTGGATGTCAACGACAACGCCCCCATTTTTGTCAGCACCCCATTCCAGGCCACCGTGCTGGAGAACGTGCCGCTGGGTTACTCCATCATCCACATCCAAGCCGTGGATGCAGACTCTGGAGACAACTCTAAGCTGGAGTATCTCCTCACTGACACCACGCCAAACTTCCCCTTTAGCATCAACAACAGCACAGGGTGGATTATAGTGGCTGCTGAGCTGGACAGAGAGAGTGTAGATTTTTTCAACTTTGGAGTGCAGGCCCGAGATCACGGCTACCCTGTCATGTCCTCCTCAGCCAGCATCAGCATGACTATTCTCGACGTCAACGACAACAACCCAGAGTTCACTCAGAAGGCGTATTACATGCGACTGAATGAGGATGCATCCGTGGGCACCAGCGTGGTGACGGTGTCGGCTGTGGACCAGGACATCAACAGTGTGGTGACCTACCAGATATCCAGCGGTAACACCCGCAACAGATTCTCCATCACGAGTCAGAGCGGAGGGGGACTCATTACTCTGGCGCTGCCTTTAGACTACAAACTA